GAAATTTCCCAACTCCAAAAAGAGTTAGAAAACCCCGAACGAACCGAAGCCGAAAAAAGCAAAATAAAACACTGAATTGGAGTATTGGAAAAAGAAGTGGAAAAGTCAGAATAGATTTATACTTTTACATCTTAAAGTCTTAAACCCAAACTATCATCGACCCGAGCAAGTAGAGACAAATTATCGTTTTTTTCTTCTCTTCCTTCTATTTTTCCCTTTACTTCTTCATTAGGACCAGTAATCTCTTTGATGATCCTGGCTCGTAATTTTTCAAAGCAGGTTAATTGAGTGTCTTGCCTCTCATGCCTGGTTAAAATATCAGCAATTCCTCCCCCTATACTATTATTAGCCAGAGTAAATTTTTCCTTTAAAATTAGTTTCTTATTCCTTTTAAAATCATAACCGAGTTGGGGACTATTAAAAACTACCACACTTAAAATATTCGGTTCGGATAAGGAAAACTGATTTCTTAATCTTTTAATATGAGTTTCATTCTGCCAAAAAGGAGAATAGACTCTTCGTCGTTCGTGCCTTCTTTGTCTTCTTGCCTTCCAGGATAATTCCAAATATTCCTCATTAAAATTACCTCTTAACATTCCTGCTACCCTCCAATCTTTTACTTCAATCACATAAATCCATTTCCTCGTTAACAACAGAATATCAATTTCACAATTTCAATAAGGTTTTTTTAGGATGAAATTGCTAACTAATAAATAATCCTCTTCTAGGTAATGGTTCCGTAAAAAGTTCTTAATTAATCGTAAAGTATTTCTTTCGCCAAACTTCCCTGACCTTCGATATACTTTATACCATATACCAAAAATTAAGAAGGCTAGGGATAATAAGCCAACTAAAATTTGCCCCAGTCAGTCAAAAATCCGACCATAATCATTGCTAATTGGGTTGTTAGGAGGAGTTTGGAATTCTTGTTCTCGTTTCTCTCTCTCTCTCTCCGTGCGTGTGTGTTGTTATTTTTCATTTTGGTCCATCACAAAAATTAGTTTTTTACTATAATTTTATTCCCTTAATATATTAGGAAATTATTTTAGCCCTTTTTTAGTCTGAAAGAGGAGAATAATGGACTTAATATGACCGAACAGGACAAAATAATAGCCTTAATCATTAGCACCATTTTAGGAGTAATCGGGAATATTTTGTGAGGCCTGTATGTCTGATTAGTCCCGTGTGCCAAGTGTAAACAGCAAAAGGCCCTCAACCGACTATTTAAAAGCCAGTGTGAAAGATGTGAACGAGGCAGGAGAGAAATTGAGTATTAACAATGCCTTACAAAGATAAAGCCCAGAAGAGAGAACACAATCGAAAATGGATGGCCGAGCAAAGACAGAAAGACAAAGGAAATGTGGGACCCTGCTTGAATGCTAAACCTTTAAAAAGTGTGGGACCCGTTTTGGGAAATGAACCTGTGGGACCCGAGCCTGATAAAAAAGTGGGACCCACAAACCCCAAAATAATCAAGGGTAAGGAATATGTTTTTATCGAAGGTCGTTGAGAACCAAAAATATGAAGCTTTGAAACCATGCTAGAAAAAATTGGAGCCGACCCCAACTATTTTAACCAGGAATGAATTGAGAACGAAAAGCAAAGAGGCCGAGAATATTGACGAAGGAACTGCCCCAATTATAACCCCGTTTAAATGCTCTTTTTCTCGGGTCTTTTCTTTCTCCCCTCCTCACTAATTTCCTCACCCTTATATTTCTCCCTAAAAATTATTTTGCCTATAAAAGTGCTTGTTTTTAGAATATTTCCCACCCCCTATTGTCCCCCAAGGGCAAAAGATAGCGTCGCATGCCTCTTTCCTGCTGTAAAGCCTTGTGTAGTTTTACGCAATAGGGGAAGTTTAAGAAAAAGGCATTTCGTTGCCTTGATAATTTAGGTTCTCCCGTCCTCCTCTTGAAGTCTTAACATTTAGTATCGTTTTATAAGCAGCAAAAGCCAGGAAATATTTTTTACTAGTATAAACCATAGGAAAAGAAAAAGCATAAGGAGCAAAGCAATACAAAAGCCGAGAATAATGCCTCTATACGCACGTGAGAAAAGTAGAGATTAATTATTCGTCAAATCCCCACTCTCTTAATTGCTTAATGTTTTCCTCTTTCTTCTGTCCCGTCCGGTAATTATTACAGCCTTTTGGACCTTGGCATTTTC